GCCTTTAGTGTACAATTAACTTGGACTGCCATGTGGTCCATGTTTGCCCATCTCTGCTCATGTTGGAGGAGATTCCAGACATTTTGTCTGAAATCCACCTTGCGAATGCCCTAGCCATGGCTCACACATAACATGCCACAGAGGCTTTTCAGCTAGCAGCTCCCATAGTATGGGAAATTGTCAGTGGCTTCCTTTAAGTGGCTATTAATGCTATTAATAGACATTAAATATGAACCATTCCTGGTCAGCAAATTATAACGAGCAGAGAGAAAAAGGGAGAACACAGAAGGAGGTGGATGCTACAGCTCACAGTTGCTAATTCTGAAAGAATACAAAACATATAGATTGTAAAACTAAACAAACAACTTTAAAGTAGGTTTCATCCCTTTTCAGTTTGTAATTAGGGCAGGGGACAGGATATTCTGAAAGCTCTTCACACATGGGAAAGAGCTAGGCGGAGTGTCAAGCCCTACAGTAGACTCATTCCAGTGTCTCACTTAGCTTTACAATCACTACTGCAGCAAGAGAGGGAAAGATTCAGCACTGCCTCTGGAGGTCTACTAAATCTGAAGACTGTCACTTTTAGAGCAAGAACTTTCTTTCTCTCCAACCTGTAAAGACAATGGAGTGGCAGCCACTATCATTTACAGAAGTTTTCAGGCTTCTGTTGCTTCCACTGATTTTGGTTGTGGAAACAGAGGCAATAGCTGGAGTGAAGTAAATCTGAAATCTACAGCACTGGCAAAGACGCAACTGCCACACAAAACATCTTTGAGCACTGCCTAGCAGAGTGCTGACACAAGTTAGGGTGACAACTTCTTTACCAGCTTTGAGTCTCAAGAGGCAAAACCAAATAACCCACCAAGGAACTGCAGAATGGCAAATGTTCTTTGCCCTTTCATCAGCAGTGAACACAATAGAGACTGTGACTTTGCTGCAGTACTTTCCAGGAGTGTCAAAATGTGTCTGTTATCAAATCTGGATGATCCAAGACACCCAACTACACACATCTGTCTATATTCTAGCATACTTAAAGTTTTAAGACTCTTTGTTTTTGCTACACGCAGACAAAGACTATTATCAGCTTCACCAATGATGCCTTTTCTACACCGGAAAACAAAGCAGGTACATCTATTTGTTTGTTTTTCTCCTATAAACAACAAAAATACAATCAAACTACTATTTTGATTGAAAAAAAAAAAAAAAAGAAAAGGATAAAAGAGAATTCGACATAAGGACAATGATGCAGTGTGGTATTTCAGGACTGGGATTTAACCACCACCAGCAAGGTCAGTACAGCCTCCAGCAAGAGAATGACTCACGGAGGCATTCTCTTGGAGCCATGCATCTTATGCCAGTTGATTTTTGCAGCTCATTCCCGTGAGATTTTCAGGTGATGGGAAGGGTGTGTAAATTCCCACTTATTTTGAGGTGTAAATCTGCAACCTTTATGTTGCAAATGTAAGCATCCTTTACATGTTAGGAAATTATGTTATCTCTTAAAACATGCCTTTTTTAGGTAGCTTTAGTTTCTCTATTTTATTCTCATTTTAGTCAGGCCTGAATTTTGGTGGACAGTTAGTTTGAACATAGTATATGCTCATGTTCTGAAGGAGGTTGGTCTCATTTCTTTAAAGAAACTATTATTCTGAATAATACCTACCAGTACTTATGTGTTAGCATTTGCTATCAAATTTCAAAAATATTAAAAAAAAAGATTTGCTACCAAATCTTGTAGTAATGGTGAATTTCTGAAGCCTCTAAATTAAATGGGAATGAAAAATTTATCTGATTAATTTTAAACATCTTGAATAAAAAATGTTATTTCAGCACAAGAAAGCAAAGATCTTTTTTGGCAGGAAAAAAGCAGCATTTCTGAAAAGGTTTGGTTAACTAATATCACAAGGTTATTAACAGATAATTAGTAAATGCACTTAGGACAGCTTAATACTAACATAGCCTAGGAAAAAAAAAGATGAAAAATATGCATAGTAGGATGAACCTTAATATTCCATTTAGCTTCATTGCTAAGTGCATGAAGAGACATGACAGATGAAAGGTGGATGAAAATAATGTTCTTTTCCCATCAAAATGCAACACATTTTGTCCTTTTCATCTCTGTTTATTATGTTTCATGTTTACAGAAAGAAAACCAAGAGCCAACAGGTTATACCTGGTATTAAAGCCATACTTAATTGGATTATAAGATCTCTAGAATGCCCTTACCATTTATCTTACTCCTTCTTAATTGCCTCATCATCGTTCTTTTGCTACTTTATCTACAGTCCAAATTTCCTTTTTACCTCCCTGGCATTGTTCCTTCATAGGTTCATTGTTCCTGCATTATTGTCCCATTGAATACCCATGCCTGAAATTCACAGCACAGGTTCGTTTACTGCAGGACTGGACCTGTCTACCAACTATTTCTGTTACATTATCTAGTCCGTCCATCTCCCTCAAATCCCTCCTTAAAGTATTTCCTCCATGCAAAGCCTTTCAAATTTAACCTCTGTAAAAACTCCAAAATCGCTTCACCATCTCGTGTATGTGCTGTTAATCAGATTTTAATGTGCCTGAGTTGTTTTGCTTGTGTCTGACCTACATTGTGCAGTCCTTAGGGTATGCTCTGTTTCCTCTTACTTGTTTGTACAATGCTAAGAATATATATACCACTGAGTTAATAATACATTGCATAATAAAATACTATGTAATTTATCACCACATCTTTAAGATTGTATTTTTTGAATGGAGTAGGTGGGCAGAGATATTTAAAAATTCAACTTAATGTTTGGGAAAATGTTGAATATACAGCCTGAGGGTGGAAGATGTCCTGTTTTCACAGGAGATGTACTTTTTTTCTTCCCCATATGTCAATTATATACTTTTTTTTTTTTTTTTTCTTTTCAATGTAGTTGTCCTGGTTTCAGCTAGGATAGAGTTAATTTTCCTTCTAGTAGCTGGTATGGTGCCATGTTTTTGATTTAGCGTGAGAATAATGTTGATAACACACTGCTGGTTTAATTGTTGCAGAGCAGTGCTTACATTAAGCCAAGGACTTTTCAGCTTCCCATGCCACCTCCCGCCAGTGAGGAGGCTGGGGGTGCACAAGGAGCTGGGAGGGGACAGAACCAGGACAGCTGGCCCAAACTGGGGGCTATATGATATTCTACACCATATGACATCATGATGAACAATTAGTATGGGGCGGCTGGCTGGGATAGAGGGACTGCTGCTTGCGGATAGTCATTGGGCATTGGTCAGCGGGTGGTGAGCAGTTGCATAGTACATCACTTGTTTTGTACCTATTATTACTAATATAATTATTATTTATTTTCTGTCCTATTAAACTGTCTTTATTTCAACCCACAAGATTTTACTTTTTTTCTTGATTCTCTCCTCCATCTCACTGGGGGGAAGGGTAAGCAAACAGTTGTGTGGTGCTTTGCTGCCAGCTGGGTTAAACCACAGAAGTAATGTATTTGGACTTACCCTCCAGTCTCGTGTAGATGTTGAGGCAACTATGTTTCATATTCTTTCAAACTTATTTCTATTCACATTAAAAAATAATTTGGCCCATTAGCTTCAGAGCTGTGCTAAAGCCTTACAATTAACCCAGAAATTGGATGAATGAATTTTATGTTTTATTATAACCTTACATTCGAACTCCATTTACTCAGCTCCATTATTTTCCCATCTCTGTTTCTTAAGAAGCCAAAAAACCTCCCATCAAGATTATTAAGGACAATTTTATGTTAATGAAAAGATTTGTCCTCCACACAACTTCAAACAAAAAAGACCCAGCATGTTGCTGGGCTGTTCACTCTTTCATTCTAACCTTGCTCCAGAGATGTTAAGTTTTATCCAGTGTTAATATGGTAACAGCCACCCTCTTGGAAAAGATTTTCTTCAAAGAAGCTTTGAAGAATTTAGGAGCAGGTGATTCTTCATAGAAATAGCTTATAAGAAGTTTAAGGAACCAGACTATTTCATTTTTTATGCAAGCATAACCTATGCATGTTACTCTGTAATCAAATATTTTACTCCAAAGTTCAATGATACTCTACAGAACTAAAAGGCACTCTCATACAATGAAAGTCTGCCAGGCTTCTGGTAAGGGAAAATGACAGCCCAGCACCTGGGGTAAATCAAGGAGCAAATCAGCTCTAGACTGAAGATGGAGAGGAAAGACACTTGCACTTATTGACTGCAGTAGTACTAGGAGCAAGAAGTAAAAGAACATGGGTCGTTATAAAGCAATCAAGCATATGATCTTACTATCATTGTGAGATTATCTGTACTGCAAGTAGCACAGCACTTATAGAGCTTTACTATAGCTTAGCTCCTCATAGTAAAGCGATGGCTGCACAAAACCCAGGGAAGTTTGCAAAGCTGGATGTTTGCCTCATACTGAGATAGGTGCTGCTATGACTGCAGTATTTTCAGTAAAAAAATAATTAAGCTCAGGTAAGCTTACACAAGCAATATCTACAGCTGTGATTGGTTCAGCTGTGATCACAGCTGAAGCTGAGGCACCACAGAATCATTCTGATTTTGTGCAAAGTAATTTAACTAGATGTAACTCAGGAGCTAAGAGTCCAGCTTCTTACCTGAAACACTTTCTTCTACATTTTTCATTCTTATATTTCATTTACTTAAGGCTTAGTTTCTCCAACAGATCAGTCCTACGCTATATAAAGGAATCCAAGTCGACAACAACAACAAAAAAAGAGCCTAGAATCATACCATCTTACTACTGAGTTACACTCTACTCATTAAATATTAATATACCCAGAGTGACCTGATGTTCATTAAGATGGTCTGGAAGAGTCATTCCAGCTTTGTCATTCTTCTTATTTCTTCCTCTTTAATTTTCTAATGTTTCTTGCAGATTTTCCCTTTAATAACTTCCTTATTAATTTTACAATAAATAAAAAATCTAAAATCCAGAATCACAGCCACCACAGCCACAAACACACATGAGAATAGGACTAGAAACTTACCAGGAGATAATCATAAGAATCAAATCACAGAGACTGCACCTACCCACAGTTTGCTTGATAGGGCAGTTTCCTGAAAAAAAAAAAAAAAAAAAAAAAGATCATAGATATTCTTTCTTTGGACTTGAAAGCTTGCCTTTTGAATCCTGCCTCAAAGACATGAGAACTAAAATGCTCCAGGTACATAAATGCTTATATCCAGTACTGGATATATTAACCTCTTTTCTGTGACACTCATGGCACTTGTGACAAAAGAAGCTGTCCTATGCCCATATGAAAATTTATTGTCTGAAAGAAAAATCAAAGCTTTATATTTTTTTATGTCTCTTAGACAAAGAAATCAGCAACTTCACTGTGAGCTCAATCATACTCTAGTCCTTACAACTAAACATTCTTGAAACAAGTTTCCAAATCCAAATTAGAAAACATCATTTACCACTATGGGAACTATACTTACAGCAGGAGGGCAAGATTTCCATGTATATGATTATGGTTTAAAAAGATAACTTAATCAGAATTTTAACATTTAGGATTTCTTATTTGAAATACCTATGAATCACGGTGGCAGAGAACAATGCATGGCAACAATTTATGTCTTCAGAGAAGTGATGAGGTGCATAAATATAATTTGAAATTTTCAATGTTTTAACAAGTTTTGTAAAGGCATCCTCTGTCTTCTGGAACTTAATTGGCAATTATAAATGGGCAATTATAAAATCTAAATATCTGCATATGTGTGTCCCTTGACCAGAGACTCTTTCTACTCATAGGGTCTGCTTTACACAAGGAATATCTTTCTGCTGATAAACAGACAATATTCTGCTCTTGCTATTGTAACATAACCATCCTTTAGGAAACACTAATGGTACAGAAAATGTATAAATTATTTCATCTGAATTAATATGCATCTAACTTGTCCGAAATGTGCACCTAACTGATGTGCAAAATGTGCATCTAACTCGTCAGTATCTATATGAGCACTAGATGCTAAACATCTTAGTCTGTTGGTATTACTGCATTGACCATTATGAAAAAGAAATAAGAACAGAAGCCTGATTATCTTTCATGAGAAGCTTGTAATCCTTCATGACAAATTCTGGAATTTTGAGCTGTTAAAAAATAAAAAATATCTATTAATAAATTGTTACTGAAATTGAACCTTACTGGTGACACTTTTCCTTTTGTCATCAGCAAAAAGGTGAGAGGTAAATGAAAGGTAGCAGTTTGAAACTTAAAGAAGAGAGTGAAGTTGCAGCTTCTGTTCTTTACACTACTAACATGGCTTAATTCTATGAGACTGAGAAAGACACTTATCTTCTCCAATCTGAAATTGGCAAATTATATTAGTATTTGCCAACCTAATTTAATTGTCAAAGGGTGGAGTCAACATGAGAACTCTTCAGCAATTTCTAAAGGAAAAGGTTCTAACACAAGTATATAGCATAATCTAATATGGAGCCATAGATTTACAGGTAATCTTTCTACTAGAGATTTCATTTTGCTAGTTAATCTGGTTACACAAATTTGTGTAAGATACGAAGTCTACAGTCACTTCACTATTCATAAATTTCTATCTGCAGTGGGTGATGTTCAGGTATTCATTCACATATATATTGCAGTGGCTTCTTATGGCAATGCCATGTAAGACTTTGTTCCTTGTTTTTTTTCCTTCCTTTTCATATTTTCTCAGATGCTAACATTAAGCAATTCTTCTTTTTCTGACCTCTGGGTACCGCATCAAGATTTTTCTCATCCTATCCCATTTGTGCAACCCAGAACTAGTAAAAATGTTTTTTACAAGAAATCTAGAGTCCATGTCCTTTCTAATGGCATGTTTACAGCCAGCTCTTTCCCTTTGTTGTGACAAGCACTCCTATTCAATGACCTTAATATTGGTAGCAGAGATAGGTACATAACACTCAGTTCTGATAAAACAATAATGAAACCTGTAGGTCAGAGGAAACAATAAGATGGGGTAGTGTTATTTCTGCTCCTCATGCAATTTAGAGGTCTGATTAGATCCACAAGTGCTATTAACAATCTGATGGCGACCATCATAATCTTCGCTTTTCAATTTCGCTTTTCAATTTCATATTTCCCTGTTTTTGAGCAATGACTTATTATTTTTTTCCTGAAGATGCTATTATTATGCTTCATTCTGTTTAAGTTTGCTCTTCAATTACACCTGAAGGTAGGAAATTATAAAAGATAACAAGTAGCTTTTGACATTTGTACAGAAATACCAAATCTGGGAAGATTTGGCTACCTTATAATGAGTCTTGAAGGCTTGGTCTTGAAATTGAATCACTTATTGTATGACATGACCTCAGACTAGGGTTTAATTACAAGGTGTGCATTTGTTATTCATTAAGAACAGTAAGGAATATTGAAAACTTGTTTACAGCTCCCTAACTCTTGTGATTGATTTTTGTATAGAAAAGCTGAAAAAAAAAAAAAAAAAAAAAAAAAAAAAGACATATATTTCCCTGAGATTATGTCTTTGAAACCTGATAAAGTCTTCCTGAAGATCATTTATCTGTATCATGAAGATAGGTAATTAACCCCATCTGAAAGAGTTATTTTTTTACTAGGCAACATTGTACTCTATTCACCCTTTTTATCATCTATTATAGAGAAGCATTGTCAGCATGGTTCATCTCTTACCCATTCTATTCATAAATGATAGAAGCTTGAACTCTATAAATCAGTTCAGCTCATAAAACTGGAGAATGATAATAGGCAGGCATACAGCAAACATCACTGCATAAGCTCTCTGTCATATCCCTTTTTGTCAGAGTTGTACAATGAAAACACATTCATTGTAACTCGGTACGTCTGATTTTTTTGAGCCTACATATATTTGTAGCTGTTCAACTCCTGAAATTCAGTTACAGGATTGTGCTCTTTCCCCTTTTTTCTCTGTATCTTCAGTCATTACAACATCACTAACATTAGAAGACTGATTGATTTTTGTATGGTGAGGTAGAAAAAAAAAAAAAGTAAAAAAAATGAATTTTAACTGCTTCCTCTGCCCAGTTCCTATGTCTGACATCAAATAACAAAATCTCTAAAGTTTTGACTGTTCTGCTAATTAATTTATATCGTGGATGGCATTGTACATCTTTATTTTACAGAGAAGCTTGACTGACAAATTCACCCTACTCTTTTGTACTTGCTTTGATTTTCCTTCTTAGTGTTCAATACACAGAGAATTTTCCAAGTCTATATTTTAAAAGAGTAGGTCAGGTTCTGTTTGTATCAGTTGTATCACATTTTTGAGAAGAATTATTTTAAACACTCCACAGGTTGTTTGGAGTTTGAACAACAAAATGTGTGCTAGATGTAGCACAGCAGTTAATGGATGCTTTTGCCTTACCACAGAGCAAAGAGCAAAGAGTGACACAGAGCAAAGAGTGAGGGACCAGGGTTTATTTTGCTGCAGTTATGCAAGACCACAAGTCTACATTTTCTGAATGAGCTGTAACACATATATATTCTTGCCAAACATAAACATTACTCATGTGCAGATGTTCTAGACGGTCATGCATCTGCATTTCAAGAGGGTATTTCTAGCTGGAACCCTGGTATGTGGCTGCAGCTTTTGTTCCACCAGGAGAGAAATCACCTTGATATCACTGATGATGTGTTTCAGACAGTATCATATCAATGCATGTGCAAAAGCAAGGCAAGTCTACATTTAGGAAGACCTCTCTAGCACCCTAAATAACTAATATTGATGTACCAGTTCTGCACCTTGGCCATAAACCTTCTGTGTAATAAATGCATTTACAAAATACAAGAAACAAAACTTAGAAATTTGTCCTTTTTTCAAGACAGCAAACACTCCATAATGCTGCCAGATATCATATGTCCACTTCTATATATGGATCAGAAAGAGTCAAGGGGAAATTTAATTTTTCTAGACAAACAAACAAAAAAGATGGGATAGAAATGTATTTAGCACTGTCTGTATGAAAGTTAGATTACCAATAAAACTGGTAGATTGAGAGCACCAATACCATAGCAACCTGAATATTTTTAAGCTTTTCCAATACTAAGAAAGCTCTAATTGTCCAATAAACCATGAGGTGTACTGACCTTATCACTGACTTCTTCAACTGATGCAGTTTCAAAACTATTTCCCCTCTTATTTAGATTTCTAGATTAATCTGCAATCCATTCAGAATTACCTTGTGCTTGGGACCAGATGGACTGGATGGATTTAAATCAGGTCTCGGTGTCAAAGAAAAACATATTTATTCTCAGAATGAAAAACCTTTCTCACTGTTCCCTTTCCAGTGCGAGGCTATCCTTCTCATACCATATTAAAATTGAAATACGAGGTAAAAAATTGGGTATTGATTACCTCTAATTTTTTTCATATGATAGAAGATTCTTATAACTCTGAGGGGAAAAAAGGGGGAGAGGGGGGAGAAATAGTAGCTTTAATTGCACAAATAGTCAACAGCTACATTTTCTAATACTTTAAACTCTTTTTTTTGTTTGTTTATTTGTTTTTTCTTTATAAAGACATAATTTCATAGATTAATGTCATAGCATATGAGAATGGAAAAGATCTGGGGAAACACTTTCATAGAGACAAAGAGACTTTCATCAGACAGAGAAGAGGTTGCTGAAGACTTCATATTACAAGCTAAAAATCTGTGCATGCATCACAAAATACAGATCAAGGCAAGCACTATAATTAAACATTTTGAAACTTTCTAATTGCATTTTCTAGAGAAGTGACAAAAGTCAAACATTAAAGCATATTAATTAGCCCTTTTCTCCAAAACATATTGAATTAATGTAACCCAATTACCCTGTTTTAAGGCAATAAAAAAGTTAATACTTGTTTGTAAACAATGTTATTTGCATTTTTCATTATGAATTTCCCTCTGCAAAGTGAATAATAGATTAATATTTTACTATATCATATTTGAAATTTCATTATATTAATTTGTTTATTAATATTTTGCTACTTAAATATATAAATGTATCAAGACGATAAAAACATATCCAGTTCTTTAATTATATTGAGTACTGATCTTCCAGAAAAGTCTGTGGCAAGTCTGGCCTTGTATCAATGAAATCAATGAGAGTCAAAAAACAAAACAAACCAACCAAACAAACAAAACTGGTTAAGAATATTATTACTCTTTAATTCATTATTAAAAATAATAATAATAAAAAGGATTTAAAACCAAATTAGACAGTTTGGTTTTTTTTTACAAAACTAAATGGCTTTTGCTAAAGGAAGGTCCTCATTCTGTTACCCTATTTTCAGTGGGAAGGCAAAGCAAGGAATAACAGAAACTAAAAACTGTTCTCACTAAAAAGAAAATCAAACTGATCTGTATCAGTGAAATTGTTTGACACATAGCAAATTTCTCCTTGATACTGGGAGGAAAAAAAATAATAAATAAAATAAAAAAATAGAAAATCAATCATCTAGATTAAAAAAAAATGCATAAAGAGAAGAAGATGAAGTTATTTCTCTTTTATACAATAAACTATCACTTTGTGTACACATCTAAAGGAGTAATTTGTTTCAGAAGACATGAATGTATATTTTTCATTTCCAAGAAAAAGGTAATGTGATAATTCATAGGCAGGGTTTCCTTTCACTTTAACCTTTTTTTTCTTTTTTCTTTTTTTTTTTTTTTTCCATCCTGTTGACCTTTTTCTATTTTATATAAAACATTTACACAGTCTCTCGCAATAGAGAGACAGTTTCTTTATCCTACTGGGTCAAGTGTTCATGTGCAAAATAAAACACATGGATTACTATCTACCACTCAGCCAGAGAGACAACAAAATTTGTTGGTTGGACCACGTCTGGTTAGGTGGAATGCTTATATATTTAAGTACCCACTGTCCAAGACGGAAACTGAATGTGTTTCTCTGCTGACCAACTAAACTGAGGTAGGGGATAAAATGGGAATGTCATTTTCTTGCTGAATTTCTCCTCTTCACTCCAACCAGAAAGGCAGAAACTCCTTGTTAACCCTTTAACTATTTGTTAAATTCACTTCTATTCTAGTCATTCTGAAATGATCAAAAGTATTTTTTGTTTGCAGCAAAGACAAAATAAATCTCAGCTACATTTTAGTTCTCACCTCCCTGAGGAACACTGTTCTCTGGCCTTTTGCCATCTCACAACTTCTTCAGTGAAAAATAATTCAATCCCATCTAGCACTCCAAATCCTTGCTCTGCACCTCCAAAGCAACTCCACACAATTCTTTTAACTCCTTGTGCACCTACAGAAAGATATGGAAACATCTAGCTCTCTACAAACATTTATCTGAAGTTTTAAAGTTGTTGTTTTCCTTTCTAAACATAACAGTTCAATTTTGTTCAGATTTTAAAACTGCAGGAAAATTATATTTTGATATAATTTATAAATCTATAAGCTTCCTTCAGAGAATTATTGCTTGAGATTTTCTATTCAAGTTTTTATACTGTATTTTGACAATAAACCTTTTGTCTGGGAGCTTTGGAGTAGTTTATCTTTGATTTTTATGGCATTAATCTGCAATTTTTGTCCTTGTCTCTGTTGACTGTGAGTGATGTCTATTTTCTCTATTTTATTTGTACTGTCTACCTTACTATTATATAGCATATAACCTTTATATAGGTTACATAGATATAAAGGTATATAACCTTTTTTTGATTTTTATTTTTTTTTGTCTTGGTTCTGCATTTATTTTATTTTATTTCATTTGTTATGTTTGCTTTTTTGTTTGTTTTTAGGTTGTGTATTTCAGTATTCTAATTAAGACCTAATGAAATAAATCAACTAAGCTTATTCTTACACTGTATCTAAACCAAACCTAACTGGATTTGTGTTAGAATTTATTTGAACTTTTTAGACCTCATGATTGTTTTTTCCTAGTCCATGAGGGAAGCTAGTCTCCTAATTTCACTAGTACTGTTTTGCAGATTCAAAAAGCTATATTATACATTTTTTTGAGTGCTATGTAAACTCATTTGCTAACTGACATCATGTGACCACTGAAAATAGAATTTACATGAATATATTAATCAAATTTATGGCAGACTACTAAAAAAAAAAAAAAAAGAGCAATATAAGGATATGCAAGATAAATCACCTCTCTGCAGCCATGTTAGATTTGAAAAAATAAAAAATAAAACTACGCCAGCTCAGAGAAAAAGTACAAAAACATAAGAAAAGCATGTGATGCTTTTGGTTACAGAGTATTCAAGGTTTGCCAAAAATTGATGCACAAAAATGCAATTGGACACATTGGATAAGGGTAACTGATACACAAGATACAGTAGCCCAAGTCCCGACTGTCAGCGCATTTACTGAAACATTTTGCAGCATGATAGGCAAAGCTGAACTAACTATGATTTAGCAAGCTCAGAGTAACCACAACAACAAAACATGTTGTGACTGTGAGCACATTATAACAGCCAGCCAGAGTCACTGGGTGTCAGTATGAGCCAAAGATTATGTCACTGCTACCTGCACTACTGAGGGGAAGACTAGTACAAATATGTTTACTGGAGTGAGACATTCCACCACTGGATGATGAAACACAAGCAATAAAGGGAGTGAGAGGCTTGTTTAGAAAAATGGAAGGAAATTTTAAGTGGAGCTAAGCCATAACCATGACATTTTGCTGGCACAGATAGGATCCTAGCAACAGAGGGAGTGATCGATCGCAGTAGAACTGACATAGCCAACTCTAACACCAACTGACTTGGATCCTTAAAAACAAACAAACTAACTAACTAACTAACAAAAACAATATATGAGAGAAGAAAACGTAGAAAGGAAATCATGCTGGCCCCTGGTTGTCCCTGACCACAACTTCCAAAGCAGTTCACTATCTTTCCAGGCAGCTGAGAGTGAAGGTACCCTTGACATTGTTCTGATTTATGACAGGGGACAAATAAGATGCCTATGGGTGTACAACCAGAAGAATACAGAATTACCTTTTTTCCAGCCCTGTGCCTTCTGGCCATCTAGCAAGTTGGTCAGATACATGGACAAAGGTTCAGTGCAGAATCTCCCTGTCGTTTGGCGTAAAGAAGAAAAGAAAATACAGTTAGGAAATCTGCAGCAAGGAAATATTGGCCCTTGAAACCAATTAAAATTTCTTTAGGAGACAGCAAGTTTAAAATTTCTATAGATAACATAAAGAAATTATCCTTTGTATAGTTATCACTTGTCAGGGTCTAGTGGCGGATTTTTTATTAACAGAACAGGTATTTTTTTTCTAAAGGTAATCAGTCTAGATAAACATAATCATGTTTGAAAGTGTCCTTCTGCTTGAGAGGTAATCCTTTTAGAAATAGGTAGATGGAGGGGTGGCACAGGTGTCGTAATTTCATAAGCTCCAATCTTATGCTAACATTACATTAAGAGAGTGTGGATACTGAAAATATTCTGGCTCTTGACTCCCAGCTATTGAAACAGGAATAGGAGAAAAATATCCATATTTGAACTTAAAGCATCTCCTCACAACTTCAATTCCAGTTGCATTTTTTTTTTCAGAATTTTTTAATTATTAATATCACATCACTAAACACATTTAAGTTTCACAATAACACAAAGAGAACAGCATTAAATGAAATGGTGTTTAACAACAGCCTTTACTATGCTGGGACCCATTTCACCAATTATTAATTTTTCACCACCTTTTCTTTAGCAATGAAAGACCAGAAAATGGATTAAAGCTCATATTCAATATAATGTCAAGTTGATTTTTTTTTAAAAACTGTCAGGAAAAAAAAAAAAAAAAAAAAAAGGAAAGTCAGAAGTACTGACAAAGGCCTATTTCAAATTCTCAAATGCAGGTGGAAAATATACTGCATGTTTTCAGTTTTGCAAATGTGAAAAACACACATAAATAGGTTATTTCAATATTAAATAATATCTTCAGGCTTCCTTCTTATCTACTCTTTTGCAGCAGCTACCACAGCATCCAATGATGAGAAACTCTGTGATTATGTTTTTCCAAATTCATCAATTTTGAAGTTTTATTTTATTATTGTGTCTATTAGACATTTCTGTCAATGCTCAAAGTTAATTTTCACATTCTTATTCACAAAACTCTGATTGAAAGCTTTGTGCTGTCCAAAACCCTTTAGATCAACTGCCATCAGCTTCAACACTGAGGTTCAGTGCTCCAAGGAGATGGTAGACTATTGTGTCTCTAATACCAGATTATGGTTTGTCATAGTTCTTGATAGTTCTTTTGCTCCAGGGCACATGCAGATTGCAGGTAAATAAAGTCACTGAAGTTGAAGGTTGGGAGATCCTGTCAGGGGTTATGGAAAAAGAACCACATACATTATCCATGTTAAGACCGGTTCAGTTTTCTACCCAAGAAACTCTGCCAAACTCAAATGTCTCTTAGGGAGACCCACTGTGAAAAAGTGGCTTTAGTGAACATCATGGATTATCCCGCTCTGCATGCATGCAACTGAGGGCAGATTGAGAATCACAGGAATACAGGGGATGAGATTTCCCAAGCTTCATATATTTAGCAACTGTTACCTGTCCATCACTAGAAAATTCCCCAAATACCAGCCAGGCATCAGGCGCAGACATCATGCAACAAAAACATGTCAAATGTACTTCCCAGCATTTTCCAGAGGTTACCATGAAACGTTCCTATTAAATGTGATAACATTTTTTTTTTTTCACACACTCTGTCTAGACTGTGCATAGCTCTGCATAGCACCAAAACAGGCTGTTGACACAGAATTAGATGTTCTCTTCTTGGGTTATCCTTTCCTTTATGGTCTTTATTTCAAAATGTTTATTGCTCAGACTCAAGGCAGCAATGAATGATGCATGATACATACCTCATATGTCTGCCAAAACCTGTCTCAATATACAACTAATAATGAAAAGTAACACTTTATGAGGAAAAATACTCATAGCTTAAATAAGGAGCTTATGTTTTTCTCTTATTTAGGACTCTGATGGCTCTGTAAAGTAGGCACCTACCTCTGCTGCTCCTAGCAAACTCTGAATCTATGTCTGGGGCTGTGGTAGGTTTTTAAGCTCCTTTTATCAAATTCCAAAAGGAGGGCTGGAGATCATGTAAAATGAAATTCAATACCACCCTAGGCCTAGATCAAGACGAGAGAGGACAGGCACTCCAAATTTCAAAGAATCCGGGTCATTCCTTGAAGATGCTTGTACCAGCTACCACTCACTACTTCTTGGAGCACACATTGAGAAAGACATCTTGGACACTGAGAAAGACATTTTGACATTGTTGGCACCAATGTCAAAAAACATAAGCTGTCATTTTTTCCTGAATTTTAAGTGCAAAAGCACTGTTTCCTCCGTAAGAGGAGGAAATATGCCTATTTGTCCTATTTTTTTCAGAGAAACACATGCTTATTTCTCACATATCTAATTTTCACCATCAAATGTATGTTTCAGGCAAATATAGTCCATATTACTTTAAATATCCTGGTAGAAAGTTGTTACCAATAGTTATGCCATTAAATTCCACCATATTACTGAAAATGAAAAATGAAATAAAAAAAAATGAAAATGAAATAAAAATGAAGGAAAGGCATACACATGTACTTCCATCTAAAGAAGCAGCAGCTAATTTTGATAGTAGCTATGTCATGGAAAGCAAAAGAGTTGTAGGGGAACACAGCAATGAGATTCAACTGCATACTTGGAAACTGGAGACCCAAAGTATATATTTCAGCATAATTTCAAATATTATGTTGCATCATTAGAGAAAAACAAGAACTAGAGTTTTCTGTATGACACATTTTCTTGAATCTCTACAAACAAATAAGCCATTTTTCATGATACAGGAGTTGTTAGGTAATGAGACACCTGTTGGTGAACATCAGTGCTAAAAGTGCATTCAAGTTTTGTGAAAAAATTCTTCCTAGTGCGTATCAGTGTAGTGATATTTGTTATGTTTATTCTGGAACTGAAGTAAAAATGGCTGAGAAGATAAAACTTCTGCTGTGTTCCATAATAACATTATTAATTCTTTTGCTTTATTTTGGTACTAACCTTATAGTTTAGAAAAGCTGAACATCCAGTAGATTTCCCAATGACTCTACTCTGGAATGCATCCATGGAGACACATTATCAATGTAGTCCATAGGAAGCAGAATTCCTTATACTAATGGTAGATGGAAAGCATGCATGATGGTCCTCTACAAATAAAATACTGCAAAACAAAAAGGACAGCTTTAAAAGTCAAGAAAAACAAGATCTGTTTCTCTGTCTTGGCTGTTTCCTTTCATTTTTTCTCTCTCTTCCTCACCACTTTCTTTCTTTCCTGTCTTTTCCATATTTTTCTCTGATGTCCTTTTCTTTCACCTTGCAATTTTTCATTTCTTAGTTGAAGTGACTTCTAGTCAGTTTCAGGTAAAGGAAATGGTATCTCTTCTGTCAGAATTATTGCATATAATTAATATAATTAAATGTAGTGCCATGTCATATATATTGCTGAACTAAATAACAATTAATAGCCAGAGGAAAATTTTGAAAACCATCTCATACAAAAAGTTTCTAGGATTATTTCTTTCAAAAGAACTTCATGAACCATAAGTTACCTTTAGAACAAGGTTATAGAGTTAATGGCACAATTAAGTCTTTAGAAGCTATGGAATAGAACGTGAAATGTCTCTCAGATTTTATTATAGAGAACATACATAACAGTCTTTATTGGCAGTGCTGCTGATTTTTTTTTCTCTCTCATTCTGCATTAGTAACAAAAATTTCTCTCTGCTTTCTCCAACCCACATATGCCCCTTTGCCCCCAGTGACTTGCAGTTGCTTTTTAAAGCACTTCTTCTCAGCTCCTTGAAAGCCTTTTTCCCTAGCTCATTTCTCTGGTGCAGATGTGAATGAAAATGAAGCATTTTATAATTTGGCTTTTTAGCTGACAGTTAGCTCCAATAAGCAGACAATCTCAGCAACATTAAAAAAGTAGAAAGAGTGAAATTAAGAGATGTGAATATTGTGCTGTAGCATGGATATCCTTGTACTCTGAGTTGAATTGTACTGCAATGTCTTGCTATTGTACTGTATGAACTCCCTAAACAGTGTCTTCCCTCTGTGTTATCATTTACATACTACAACATCAGAAAGAAGTTGGGGGGAGGTTGTGTACACACCTTATATCTAATAAGGAGTTGACCAAATAAGAGAAGCTAGAAGTAATAAAATCACAGATCAAGACAATATGGCAACAGAGGAAACCAGAGCAATACAAACTGTTTTGACTTAGAAGACTGATGGACAATGCCATATGTAGAACTGGGAGAAAATGGAATTTCAAAACTCTAGGGAAAACACACGAACAATTGGTAGGTAATATGACAAAGCATTGCAAGTCAGCTACCACAACAGCACTTTACAGAGAGATGAAATGCAAAGAAAATCTGAAGCATTACCTCTATAGAGGATAAAACATGGGTGTCAAAACTTCCTGTTTCTGCTGCTGTGGATACATAAGAAGTGGATACATGCTCCATTTTATCTAGGAAAGTATGGGAGCTTGGTGGGCAGAGAAATGTTCTAACTCTTGACTTAAGCCCAAAGATCATAGTGACACCTACATGAAGAGGGAAAGATTGGTGGCAGGCTGTCTGGGACAGAAGACAATTAACCTGATTTTCATATCAATTTAGATAGTCAGAATGAAGCAAAGCCAACAGGTAAAAAATTCCCCCTTGATATTTCTGTTTTTATCATTTTATTACTGACTAACACATAGGAAAACATTTCCCTTTCTACTCATCCGCATAAAAGTTGTATAAATTGTGAATGTAATAGAGGCTTCTGAAGTTATTATACAGGATTGAGTTTATCAAGGAATTTTCTCAGACTGTTAACAACTTGTCCTTCCTTAGAAATAGGAAGGACATGTACCTTACCAGAGCATTGTCTGTGCTTCTTTTAATTGCTTGCTAAGGGCATTATTTTTTGAACTTCCTTTAATATTTGTTGGCTGGGACTTCAAGGAAAGCAATGATGTCCACCATTCCCTTAAGGCATAAATGAAACCTATTAGAACCAAAGAAAATGGGTCACTCTTTCTTCAGTATGAGCCAAATTCCCTGCTGGTGCAAATGGCCTTTTGTTCCATTTAAAGGTTGGATTAAAAGAACTTTTTGGAAAGGAATCTTTAGTTTTTATAATTTTGTATTCAATGCTGAATTATGAAAATAAATATTTTATTTTTTTTCCCCTCAAAATCTTTCTAGTTACATATGCAACTTGATTTCATAGCTTTAGGTATAAGACAAATGAGAACATTGTTATGTCTGGCTTAACAATAATGTCTACATACATATTTTGGGGAGATAATTAACTTTACCAATAACAAGTGAGTCTACTGGCACATCATGAATCTCAGCAGTTAGGCAGAGATTTTGTGCATCAGTCTAAAGAGCTGAGCCATTTAAGTTCCACTGAAGTTACAGGTTAGCTGATTAAATGCTGATTTGGCTCTAGGCCCTGACTCCTAATATCACAGTGGAAAGCCAATTTTCTGTCAGCTCTGCATCACCATGTTTCCATTAAAATCAATGCATCAAGTAATACACTTCAGTTTAGTAGTGAGCCAGGCCATATTTTTTTTTAAAAAAAAGGGGTTGAGTGAAAGACATTCTAATTCATTATACATGTGTAGGGGCTGCTTTTACACTGTTGATGAGTACAACCCCCTGTTCTCTTCCATACTTCAAAATATCTTCCCTCTTTTTCTTCCTTTAACAAGTCAATTTTTCACAAACAGCTGATGCAACTTCTTTTCACTATTAGGGAGTAATCCATCAGCACCTGTGTCAAGTTAAACAGTGGGCTAAATACAAGTATAAATCTTTGCGGTATTGGAGTTTTCTTGCTATGTGTCATGTAAATGTATTTAGAACATCTGATGGTCCTTGATCTGTGGGCATCTTCTCATCAGCTTTCCTGGGAGCATTACACGTAAATCAGTCTCTCTCTGCTACTGCTGCCCTAGTTGTCTAAAAGTATAACAAGAATGAGCAAACCATTATTTTGAGTCCTCAAGCTTTGAGTTAAAACACTATGAAAATTTTGTCATGATATGTTGTTGAAAATAAAAATCACTTTAAACTTATTTCAGCTGTATCTGTACTTTCCTAAACACAGAGCAAAATACACAGAAGAATGCATTGAACTGAAACAGACCTATTCCAGCATGCTAAAAGGCAAGAAAAAGGGAAAATAAAAACTTGGAAGTCTGTCTGAAATTCAATTCACACATAAAAGTATAAAATATTTAATCTAGAGTAATGGTCATTTGTTTGTTTATTTGGGGGATTTTTAATGATCAGTATTGGATACATCCCAGAAAACAAATGTCAATACATACAGTTGTATCATCTGTCATAAAACAGCTGGGCAGAGATTTCTGAAAAGGATCTAGATCGAGAGCTGATACCAAAGTAAATCAAATTTTATCCTACAGAGTTTTTATTTCATTAAGAAATTTTTGCCTGGCCTTGCAAATAAATCTACAGTTGATTTGAACAATTAATAAATATACTGTGTCACCTGTACAATTATCTGACAAACAACCTGCCTCTGGGTCCTTCCTTGAACTCTACAGAAGGCAACCAACAAATAACAATTTATCTCCTCTCTCTCCACTGGCTAGGAGAACCTTAGGAGAACCTTAGGAGAATTTGACAAAAGCCCTTGTATATATTTTTTAAAAAAAGGTATAATAATAATTTAATGTATGTAATTAAAGTATAAGCTTTTTTTTTTTTTTTTTTTTAATTTAAAATGTTGAGAAAATGGTTAATTTTTCAGGTTGATGGCTAAAACTTTCAACATAGGATACATAATAATTGCACAGAAGTGCTATATAATATATACATTATATAAAGTAAAATGTAGATTTGTTTGGAAATCTAAACCAAATACAGAGGACTTGATTTCTAAATCTCACTGACTATCCTAAACATACATCAGGGCTTTACTTTGGTGGAATGAAGAGGAAAGGAATTAAAGATGAGGGGTTATGAAAGTACAGCAATACTGTGTGCAAGAACAATGCTGTCATAAAGCAATGTTCAAAGCAAAACCTGAGAATGCATCCTGCATAGAAAGGTTCCTAAAGAATTCAGCATGGAGAGTGGCATAAATTAGAAAGGAATTCTATTTAAATACATGTATGCATTTCTTTACAGAAGTACAAAGTGCATGGGTGTCGAATAGTAGAAAGAGACAAAACAAATACATGCCATTTTTTCTACAAAGGGAAAAAATATAGTGTCTACATTTATCAGTATATATTCACAGAAAATCACAGAATCATAGAACACCTTGGGTTGGACGGGACCTTGAAGATCATCTAGTTCCAGCCCCCCCTGACATGGGCAAGGATGCTGCCCACTAGATCAGGTTGCCCAGAGCCTCAGCCAGATCTGGTCTTGCACACCTCCAGGCATGGGGCATCCACAACTACTCTGGGCAACCTATTCCAGTGCCTCCTCCCTCCCTCCCCCCCCAGTGAATAATTTCTTCCTAACATCTCATCTAAATCTCCCCTTTTTTAGTTTAAAACACCCCCAACCCCCCTTGTCCTATCATTATCTGACCAAGCAAAAATTTGCTCGTCTTTTTTATAAGCCCTATTGAAAAGCTGCAATGAGGTCACCCTGGAGACTTTTCTTCAGGCTGAAAATCCCCAGCTCTCTTTACCTTTCTTCATCAGAGAGGTGCTCCAACCCTGTGATAAAACCACTTTTAGCAGATGATGGAATTTATGAGTAGAGGATAGTTTTATTTAGCAGAGGATGGATGTTGACTAAACTGTTACTAAGCTATTACAGCAGACTTCCAGAGTTACCAAATACCAAGGTCTCCCTCCATTTGGCCTTTTCCCTTGCAAAAAGATAGTATACATTCATATGGGCATTCAGACCAAGTTACCAGCACCTTTAAATCCTAAAGAAATGGCCATAAAATTTGCCCAATAAAGCTGACATGTCCTGGATATGTCAAATTGTCTTGGTATATATCATTACAGACATGCTTATGTATTGTTTTTATTTATTTATTTATTTATTTGGAATCCTTTGTTAAATATGACAGTCGAGTCACACTATGATAATATTGACATTTCCATGTTTTATTTTTGCAGTAAGTTATTTATGAGGCAGGTCATAGGACAGACAGGAGGAG